GTCAATCATAACCTTGCAACTCCACAACTTCGCCTTTTTCACCCGAATAATTCAACGTGTTTTTCATACCGATTTCTTTTTTTCCAATTTATAATTTTGATTATCAACTGCATTTAATAAAACCTTGATTTCTACTGTGTGTTCCGATTGTCTACTCTGCTCTACTGATAACCTTTGGAGGTTACATAGAAAAGGTTGGACTTTTTCTCTTTATTCGAGTTCTTGAGTAACAAAGCAATTTACAACAGAAAGGACAATGGATAAACCCAAAGCGGTCCAGGTTCTCGATGGGAACGTTTGTCCATGTGATGTATTTGTAAGTGATGAGTTGTAACAGGGTTTATGTATTGTAAGCAATATATGTCGTAAATAAGAGTTTTAATATCAAAAAACAAAACAAAAACCGAAAAAAGAAAAAGCAAACATATGAGTTGATATTGTAAAGACTGGTCAGTTTGCATCATCGAGTCATTCATAAACAATATCCTCCACAATACCCTACACAGTCGCAGCATCACAGTCTCCTCAGGAGCCTACCCCCCTTAAGATATTTATTTGTTATTAATGGCTGTTGTACTTACAAAGTGATGATGACACCCGTTGTGTACTCAGACTTTTTGTCGCAGACCACAGATATCTCCTTCGCTCCAATTCGAGTAGGCTTCAAGCTGACCTGTGGAATAACTAAAGAAGGGCACAGGTTGAGTTTTTGAGTTGGAAAACAAAATAACAATAGATTCCACAAATTTAGACGTTGGATACGGGGCAGTAGGCAATACGCCATTTTGCAGTTCTGTACTTGGTTGCGAGGCCTTTGATTTGGAGTGAGGCTGAAGGTGACCTTGTTGTGACAGAGACCAGTATTTAGTTAGCACGATAAAGTGATTTACTTTTTAAAAGCACCAACGTTTGTTTCATAAGGTCACCCTTAGCCTCACACCTGTTCAAAGGCTTGGCAACCAAGCAAGCAACTGTAAAATGGACTATTATCTATTGCTATACATATACCCAACAAATTATCTTGCTACCGATGTTAGTCCATGACGAATGCATGTGCGACCTCCATGTTGCACCCCATCAAAACTCTGAGATAGGGTAGGAAAAATTATCATTTCCTTACAATGATCGAAAGTTTCTCAAGCAAGTTATTTCTTTTAGAGATGAGCCAATCACTCAATTACTCTAACAACCTTGAAACTAAAGCTTGGACAGAAGTACTTTTCATATTATTAAAGAACTGTAAAGATAAAAACGTGAACGCGTAAATCGTTTTAGTACAGCAGTCTTAACCATTGAAAAACTGTTACTGCTAAGGTGGGAAACTTTGGGTATTTCGTAGACAAAAAAACCTCACGTTGCAGTGATCGACCTTGATGCCAAGTTTAAGGTATCCAAACATGATTGGCTAGCCAAAGGAAAGACACACCCATGGGGAAAAGGGAAAAAGAAAAATGAACAACGAATATTACTGAAAATTCTTACCACAACATTATTTGGGTTGTTGGGATTTCCTCTCAATTTTATAAATTTTTTTAAAGTTAAAACTAGTGTGTAGCACTGCGAACAGTTGTAAAGCTTTTTTATTCTCCGACGTGTTTCAGTCTTTTTATCCTCGTAGAATTCTTTAGACAGGTAACAAGTAACACTAAATTCCTGTATTTATGACCCATAGTTAGCGGCTATAACGGGGTCAACGACTATAGAGGCTTTTCTCGGACTTACGAAGAGGAACAGGCGAAGTTGTGAAAAATTTGAGACGTTGAAGGCAAGGTGAGAAAAATATTTTGGGGGCCTTGGTGTTCGCTGAAACCGCCTGCTGAAAATACTCCCTGAAGATGTCTACGACAGTTAGACGAAATGCGTCGGAGAATAAAGAATTTTTACAACTATTGTTTGCAGAAGTGCTGCTCATTGGTTTAGTTTTAAAAAAAATTGTTTAATTTTTTTAAAAAAGTTGTATAATTAATAGGGTCACTTACTTTCCTTTTGGTCGGAACTAGATTAGCTGATGTTAGTTGTAAAAATCCCATAATATGCTAAAGAGGAGTTGAAAAAAGGGTTGCAATTTACATATTGAATGATACTGCAAAAAATGCTGTACATTTGAAGATGAATCGTAGAGCAAGGGTTAGGTCTCGTTCACTGCAGTTTTTTGGTGTACAGAGGCCCCAAGGAACCGGATTAGCAAGGTCCTGAAATGAGAACAAATTGGAATACGTGTGAACTTCGTACGGTTATCAGTTTTCCATAGATGGACAAACGGTATATAAACAGGTAACAGAGAAAAAGGGAACCAATCAGAACGTTAGAAATAGAATTAGGATCAGTGTCATTATCTGTTGCTATTCATACCCAACGGTTTATAAGCAGGTAACAGAGAAGAAGAGAACCAATCAGAACGTTAGAAATATGCTAAACATGGCGTAGAATTAGGATCAATGCCATTATCCGTTGCTAGTCATACCCAACGGTTTATAAGCAGGTAACAGAGAAGAAGAGAACCAATCAGAACGTTAGAAATATGCTAAACATGGCGTAGAATTAGGATCAATGCCATTATCCGTTGCTAGTCATACCCAACGGT